TGAGATCATAGACATATGCTTATGCACATGTTCAGTGTTTGCAAACATGCTAGTCATTCTCATCAATCGTTGATTTGTTACCAAACAAAATAGAATTTAATGACAACAGTAAGGTTCCAAACGTACCACAAGTGAACAATTCATGTAATTAATGCGGTGAATGGTAAACAGTAAGAGTAGGTCGAGTTTAAGGCTTCGAAGTCTCGGGAACGGTGCTGTCAGTAGGTAAGGGTGTGAATCGTTTCAAAGAAGGCGATCGAGTGATCGCGTTACGACCCGAGGGCACAGGTGCATTCGCAGAACATTGTATGTTGTCATCAACAACTGATATCATCATTACCATACCTTATTCACTAAGTTTCGATCTCGCCACGTGCTTACCTGTTAGTTATGGCACTGCCTATATGATACTTCAGAAAATGGCCACCGAAAGACAAGGGTACGCATTATTATTATTTTTGTCATTATAACCACCACTGCTATCATAAATAATCGGTATTATTTCCAGTGAAACATCAGTTGTTTCGTCAGTATGGATTACATTTTAGTTGTGTCATGACCTCTGGAAATGTGAAACGTTTTCAATCCAAGCAAATTTACCAATTAAAATAAACGATTGCTGTTAGAATTGAAATGCTTGAAAATAAACGGTGCAGATAAACAAATTCACTTTATGATCGAATGCATATTGCTTTCCAAAGAAATGGACTTCATGAAATGCACAAATTCATTTCAGTAGTTCTGTGTTGATACTGGCAAGTCGAGGCACAATTGGTATGAGTACTATCGACCTCGCACAGAATGTTTTCAAAGCACAGGCAGGTGCCCTTACCATATATCATCGAATCACCCATTTAAATATCTAACCCACTGAAACAGTTTCTGAATCAATCAGAAAAAATGAATATAAATTTTCTCGCCAATAATTTCTTCACGAATGATTGAATATCGGAAGAGAAACATAGCTCTTTTGCCGCAATCATACCAGAAAATCGGATTCTCTCAAGTAATATCTCGTAATTATCAGATGAACTTAAGGTGTTCGGTGCAAGTGACACAGAGGAGAAGTTAAGCAAGATACGTGCCACGGGTGTGCATTCGACATTCAATTGGAACGATAAAAATTTTTTGAAAGAATTGAAAAAAGTTACGTTTGATAAGGGTGTCGATGTGATCATTGACACTGTTGGCGGAAAACAGTTCGAACAAGCGCTAGCCGGGTGATTCTTTTCGATAGTCTGAATATCCTATGTACATTTCATTTGGCTGAGAACATTGTCAACATTCCAAACGATCGTTGAAGTATAGGAATAGATATGTGCAGTGTTGCTATCTGCAGTCGTATTGTCAGCAAATTTAATGCTAAAGAAAAGTGCTACTGAATGACTTTCATCGGATTTTATTAGCAAGTTTCATTTGAAACTGATGAATTTCTTTGATTCTCCTCTAAGATCTCGATGAAGTCTATTCGGTTCTTTTTTTTNTTTTTTTTTCCTCAAAAATCTTTGATCACAGCAATTGAGTGATAACTGAAAATCAAGAAAATGATTGCTTCGTTGATTTCAGCTTAAAGGTCGGTGGTTATGTGATCAGTGCTGGTTTTTCATCAGGAATTATTCCATCCATTAGTCTTCTTGATCTGCATCGATCACAGGCTACTGTTTGTGGTTAGCATTCATTTGGCTTAAATGTTGCTCTCGCAATCAATTGTAAATGTAATGTGAATGTTTTCTCGGAATTTCATTCACAGAAGTGATGATGAAGCGAAGTCATTCTCTCTAAATAAGTGCGATTTAATAATCTTCAAAAAAAATCTTATTTCAAATCGAAGGTATTTGGCTTGGTGGACGGCCTCAGCTAGATGTGGAGAATGTTCTCAATTCAGTGATCTCACTCTATGACGAAGGATATTTGAATGTTTCAATCGAGAAAAGATATCCTCTCGAAAAGGTTGCACTATTCATATCTAAATATATTATTCGTTACCAATTTAATTTCCATTCTACATGAGATTTATGGCCTGAATTGCTTCAGTGCAGCAATAATATGTCGCTGTCTTCGATATTTGTAGTAATTCGTTTAAGTTCAAAATTGTTGCATTTGCTCTGTTGCGATGTGACCAAAGTTTGAGTTGATTATGCAAAATTCTTATCTCATAAATATACAATTAATTATTTTCAGATAAACGATTGCATAAAGGATATAAAAGAGGAGAATGTATTTGGCAAATTACTGATTGATATGCACTGAATGCAGAATCGAATGTATATATTTGAAATTACTGAGGATACCTTCAAATTTGCTCATTTTTGCAATCTTCTTGGA